TCTAAATTTCACAAGGGAGTGTGTCCCTTGTGAAATTTAGCCTCGAAAAGAAGCTGCCTGGGGGGGAGGGGAGATTATGGGAAGGGGGATTTTTAACACGCTTCTGTTTCTTGTGTCTGTAATCAAAACTGCCCCTCTCGGTGGCAAGGCACACAAAACCAGTTTCAGAGGAGTAGAAGAAGAAGAGGAGATTGGATTTATACCCCGCCCTTCACTACCCAAAGGTGTCTCAAGAGGGGTAATTGTGTTGGCCTGCACAACGACAGCTAGATTCAAGTCTAGCAGCACCTTAGAGACCAACAAGTGTGTGTGGGGGGGAACGCTTTCAAGAATCAAAGCTCCCTTCCTCAAATATCTACGTTGACTGTCGAAAACGTATATCCCCCAAAGGTGTTCCTGGATGCAATACAAGGTGTCTGTATTTTTTCTCCAGGCGAGGCTAAAGCTGCCAGGCATGGTTTTAGGAAGTGATGCAGGGATTGGAGACCCCTAATATTGCAGCCCCAGTCCACATGGGTCCCTCATGCTTTTCTTGAGGCTAAACGAGGCATCAGAAGATCTCATCATGGATCCCCAATATCCTAACTGGGCCGTCACTAAGTTTCAGGCTCAGCCCACAAGATTCAGCACGGTGAGAACATAAGAAGAGCCCTGCTGGATCAGACCAACAGTCCATCCAGTCCAGCCACACACTGTGGCCAACCAGTCTCTCTGGATGGCCAACAACAGGGCAGAGAGGCTGAGACCAGAAGAGCCCTGCTGGATCAGACCAATAGTCTGTCTGGACCAGCCTTCTGTCTCACACAGTGGCCAGCCAGTTCCTCTGGAGGGCCAACAGGGTATAGAGGCCAAGGCCTTCTCCTGATAGGAACACAGTAAGAGCCCTACTCGATTAAACCAGTGGTCCATCTAGTCCACCATCCTGTCTCACACAGTGGCCACCAGCTCCTCTGGAGGGCCAACGACAGGGCATAGAGGCCGAAGCCTTCCTCCCATGTTGCCTCCTGGCTCTGGGATTCAGAGGATTGGTGCCTCTGAATGTGAAGGTTCCCCTCAGCCACCATGGCTAGTAGCCATTGATAGACTTATCCTACATGAATCTACCTAATCCCCTTTTAAAGCTGTTTATTCCTGTGGCCATCACTACATCATCTGGCAGCAAATTCCGTATTTGTATCACCCTCTGTGTAAAGTAGTGTAGCTGTTAGAATGTCAGATTAGGATCTGGGAAACCCCGATTGAAGTCTCCACTCTGCCATGGAAGAAGAAGAGATTGGATTTATACCCCGCCCTTCACTACCCAAAGGTGTCTCAGAGCGGCTTACAAACTCCTTTCCCTTCCCCTCCCCACAACAGACACCCTGTGAAGCAGGTGGGGCTGAGAGAGCTATTGACAGAAACTGCTCTTTTTCAAGAACAGCTCTTATCAGAACTACTGCTTGCCCAAGGTCATCCAGCCAGGTGCAAGTGGAGGAGTGGGGAATCAAACCCGGTTCTCCCAGATTAGAGTCCGCGCACTTAATTACTACACCAAACTGGCTCTCTGCTAGGAAGTCTGCTAGGCGACCTTTGGCTGGTCTCAGCTTTACCTACCTCAGAGGACAGTTGTGGTGAGGATAAAATGGCGGAGAGGAGAATGTTTTAAGAGTCCCTATTGGGGGGATGGTGAGGACGTGGATGGTGAGAACGACCAAGGACTGGAACCGACGGCTGGTGGTCTTTTTGTTTGTCCATCGAGTGACTCTGAGTGTGTCCATCAGCTGCAGCCCCATGGAACTCTTAATGGGCTGCCGCCTCAGATGACTCAAGCAGTTAAGACGCTGAACTGTAGGTCAGCAGTTCGAGGCCCTAGAGCCATGTGACGTGATGGAGTGAGCTCCCGTCCCTGGTCCCGGCTCCTGCCAGCCTAGCAGTTCGAAAGCAAGAAATTGCAAGTAGATAAATAGGTACCGCTTTGGTGGGAAGGGAACAGGGTTCCGTGCCCCTCGGCGTCTAGTCATGCCAGCCACATGACCACAGAAACGTCTTTAGACAGCGCTGGCTCTTCGGCTTGGAAACGGAGATGAGCACCGCACCCCTAGAGTCGGATTTGACCGGCTTTTGAGCAAGGGAAACCTTTACCTTTACCTATTGGGGGGAAAGGTGAGCTTAAAAGGAAGGTTTAAAAAGCTGTGGTTCAAGGCTCCAGTGACACGATAGCTTTTTCAGTTCACACCCTACAAATCCTGTTATCTTCTCTCCCTTTCACACCTTCTTGGCTTTACCCAGAAAGCTCCGTGCCCCGCACACACCTTTTTGGCCATACCCATCCACGAGTCCGACTCAAACAGCAGCTCTCTTTGCCCGGGCTTTCTCCAGCACCTTAACCTACATCGCTTTTGAGAGAGATGTGGAATTTATGCGAGCTGGTATTCTGAAGCCAGAACGAAGACGAGACAAGCTTTAGTGCAGTTTTGGATACTTAGTTCTGTGTGTTTTTCATGGTAAAGGACTATTACCATTGGAAAGCAAGGAAGGAGACAGAAAGTGACCCGAGGGTCAAAGTACAGGCTCCATGCAAATGTGCACAAGGAAGGGTTTTCTTGCTAACTGAAAAGCTGCCCTAGGAAGGAGGGGTTTGGCGTGGAGAGGTGGGAGGGGGGGGCGTTTCCCCAGCCAGCCACTTCCCTGCTCAGACTTGCCCCCAGGGGCTTCCCCCCCTAGTGTGTTCCAGATGGAGGTTTAGGAGAATCAACATGCCCCTGGAACCAGCTGCAGCTTCAGTGGGCAGAGGCGGAAGGAACTGGCGGGTGGGAAAGGGTTAAGCACCCCCCCCAACGCTCCACTCCAAATTGTCCCCTTGAGGCTGCATGCCATTTTTTTTTTAAAGTTCAGGCTTTCGGAGTTGCATGGGGCATTTCGCTTCCAACTATATCCCCCCCCCCCACGCATTTAAAATTGCCGAAGTGCAATGGAAATGCCACTTCCCAGGGGCCGAGATGACCAGATTCGGTGCAAAAACTGGGATGGTTTCCAGTGTGTTAGAAAAGCCAGTTGGGAGAATCTGGGCCCCTGTTGCCCCAGGTCGACAGGGGCAGCTCTGTCCAGGAGAGTATTCTTCCCGAGCAATGCTCCCTCTAAACTGTGGAGTCCTATGAGCAAACATTCTACACTTTGGGAGCTACTGGCATTAAAGTTGTGAGCGAGCGATTTGATCGCTGCATAAATTAGTCTGCGCTGGAGCCATCCTTCCGGAGCGAAAACAACAGTGTGTGAGCCGGAGGCTAAAAAAACTGTGAGCTAGCTTACCCTAAACCAGCTTAGAGGGAACAGTGTTTCCAAATAATAATAATAATATTTCCATTTATTGATCGCTCAATCCACGCAGAGCTGCCGGCTCTGAGCGATTTACAGTTACTCCTGAATTTCACATGGGACTAACAATGCTGGGGGTAAGGGAGGACAACATATATCATTTAATTCACACACATTTCGTAGTGGACGGAGTATGCGGGGCACGCTTTCCCACAGCTTCTCGCCCTGCACCGGCGGCGCAAACCGTCTCCTGCTTAACTCAGCGGCACAGATCGCACGTTAAGAATTTGGAAAGCACAGATCTCTCGAAAGCAGCCGGTCTCTTCCCCCCCCCCCCTCCCCCCTGCTCCTAGGGTAGGGCTCCAGGGACTCCCCCAAGCGCGCCATTTCCAACCGTGTGAACACATGCAAACGCGCGAACGGCGCCAGGAGACCAGGGAGCCCAGCGAATGGAAACTCGGGTGCAGCCCAGGTCCGCTTCTGCCGTGCAGCATAAACACGGCGGGAGGAAGGGAAGCGAGACGCGCTCCCAACCGCGTCCCTCTCCTCTCCCTTCCCTCGCCGCTCTGTGGCTCTCGCGGGGCGGCCCCGCCTCCTCGCCCGGCCCGGCCCCCTCGCGCGCCTTGACGGGCAGCCGCCTTCCTCCACTCACCGGCCAGCTCTCCCCTGAAGCCCCTTCCCCCGGCCCC